GGGGGGAGGTTCTGTCAGGGTAGACTAAGGAAAGCCTCTAGCCACTGAGTTCCATTCACAGGGTTGAAAGAACACAGTATGGAGGAAAACATCATTAATAGAATAGATGTGCAAAAATCTTCAGTTGGTCAACACATAAGAATGTACACTGAATTGAAACCCTGTGAATGAGAAAAATACAAGAAAGAAGTTGGTTATAACAGTTTTAGTGTCCTATGCAAGTTTTTCTGTCTTGAAAGCCTATGAATGTAAGTAATATAAAGAGCATAATGCCATACCTGATGTGAAGGAAACCTAAAATTTTTGTTATTAATAATACATCCATCATTGGTTTTCTTTTGGGGCAAAGGTTATTTGATCTAGTCAGATAGTAAAATTGTAATTATTCTACCATCCTGAGGTAGCAGATTCTAGATATTTCTTCCATTGTGCATATTTTTTTCATATTTTTATAACTGAGAATGTGGTGGGGGATTTTTTCCAGTTTTAGGATACATTTTCAAAATATCTTTGTTTTGTCTTGATCTAATCTCTGAGGAGCATCATTTGGTGTTGTCTGTAACTTCTTCATAAGATAAGACCTTACAAATATGAGGCCGACTGAAAAGGTATTATAGGAGACTGTAATGAGTGAATTGTTTTGCTCCTACCTCTCAGTGATTCACTTACAATTCTTTGTGCCTTATCTGTCCTTCATGAGATCATGTTACTCTGTTTGTTTGTTTGTTTGTTTGTTTGTTTGTTTGTTTGTTTTTGGCAGAACTGGGGATTGAACTGAGGCCCTTGTGCTTGCCAGGGAAGCACTTATTCCACTGAGCCATCTCTCTGGCCCCATGTTACTCAGTTTTAAAACACAGAGATATATGGACTTAAATCTTGTGAACATGATCCACACCAAATTATCTAGGGTTCAATTCTGCAAAGAAGACAGAGATGATAAAATGTGCAATCATGAGCACATGTTAGAAGAGACCATGCCAAGTTTTCAACAAATGTGTATTAAGCTTTCTGAGAGAATCAACTTGAAGGCAATAATCTTATTCTTATTTCAGTAAGAAAAATTTCTTAATTCCTTCTATAGAAGGGCTATTGGAAACTTCAGAAAATATCTGAGATATCCTCAAGAGTGAGGAGTTCCCTTTCTGGTGAACCTAATTTTGAAAACAACTATTCAGAGTTATATATACTAAATCCTGTATCCACTCTAGTTTAGTGACAAAAGTTTGGTTAAAAACAAGACTGGCAGAGTTACTGCTATGATGTCTCTCAGGTAGGTAGATGTTCGAGAAGAAGGGGGTGGTGAATGAAAGCAAGAGACAGGAAAAGGAATATTGTGGGACTGTCCTGCTTTAAGGTTCTATATGGTGAGATTTTTGGACTTATGTGCAAACATGAGAAGTATAGAATTCTTTATCCTATTTTTAAAATATAATCTAATTTTTAAATGTTTTTTATCATATTATGTAGGGACTTAAAGTTCAACATATCAATACTTGATGAAAAATACCTGTTCCTTATTATGCCTAAGATGTTTGAAATGCAGTGAGATAGCGAGGTTAAGCTTAATAGCCTAAATCGTTTGATAATAACAATAAGCTTGTCTTCTGGATGGTTAACAACTTAAGTTTGCAGACCAAAATTAGAGAAAAAGGAGAGCTACAAGGAAAGCCAACTTTTTGGCCCTAGCCTTCTAAGGTCAATTAAGACTCAGGACATATGAGAACTTGTACTGTAACGTCATGTACCTCGGTAGTGTCCCAAATTTTCTGATCAAGAAGATTATGGGGCCAAAGAGGAAAGTGATCGATAACGTAGAGTGTGCCTGAGGAGAGTCACATGGGGAGAAGACACTCTCTCAGGCTTTCACAGAGAGCACATTGGCCAAGCAAGGGCCATGACTCATCCACATGGCTGCACTGACAAAGGTTCTACAATCTGAGGTACAGGATCTCAGGATAAATCCTGAGGGGATTTCACTGACCTTCTCAGACCAAAAAACTACAACTCTTGTTGCACAGGTCCTGCTTTATCTTGGTCTTAACCATCCAGTAGAAAAGTATGCAGACGAAATATAGGAAGTAAAGCCATGCTGTTATGTTGAGCTGTGGGGGACTCGGGTCAATAATTTCTGACATTGCCAGTTAAACAGAAGACCCAATGCTATTATGGTCTACTGGACTCTTTTAGAATATTTTGCTGAGTTTACACACCTGTAATATTCAATAACAGAACTTAGAAAAAATTGGGTATACAGATGAATGTCCATTTTGTATCTGTGTATCCAAAGTGGTTAGGATAGATATATAGTTGCATTCTCTTAATGAATAGAATGATTTGTTCTAATGGTGTTTGTAAATAGGATCTCAAGTCCGCATCTTGTACAGCAATTAACCACTAAGAGGAATATATGCAGTGTGTTATTTGTTGAAACTACTTCCGATTTGATTTGAAACTGTTTCATTGCTATCTGTTTATCAATAAAATTTTGAAAAAAAAAAAAAAACAAGACTGGCAGGATGAAATACTGGAACAAATGTTCTTGATCTTGGATTTGGCACTGTCTTCTTAAACGTAACACCAAAAGCAAGGCAGTAGATAAAAGTGAAAAGAAATCCTCCAGGGCAGGAGAAAGTATTACAAATCATCTACTTGATATACATGCAGAATATATAAAGAATGCCTGCAATTCAGTAGCAATAAACAACAATCCAATTTTAAAAATGTGCCAAGGACTTGAAACATCCCCACCCCACCCCCCACCTCATGGAAGAGATAAAAATAGCCATCAAGCACATGCAGAGATCATTCATCCTTAGAATACAACATTATATCAGAGTGATTTACTCATTAGGCAAATGTAAATAAAAACCACATCGCACTAGGATGGCCGTAAGTTAGAAACAAGGAAGGAAACCAGCAATTGTAGAAGAGTAAGAAATTGGGAGCCTCAAACAGTGTTGGTAAGAATGTAAAATGGAACAGCTATTGTGGAAAACAATATAGAGCTTCCTCAAAAATCAGACATGGGGCTGACGAGATAGCTCAGTGGACTAAAGCCCCTGCTTTGGCAAAGCTTAGAGACTGCTGTTCTATCACTGGCACCACATACCATACCATCCCCACCTCCAGGGTGGGTTGAGCCAGCCAGACTGGGTCTAGTGGCACATGCCTGTAATCCCAGTGCTGGGGAGGCTGAAAACAGGAGGATCACCACGAGTCCAAGCTGTGTAGTGAGATCCCTGCAACAACCAAATACACATACACACACAAAAAAAAATATGATATGCCATATATCCCAAAGATTTAGGAAAAGGGTCTCAGAGAGGTATTTATATGTAAATGTCTAGCAAAATGGCCAAAAGGTGAAAATAACCCAAATGTCTCTCAGTGCATGAATGGATAACTTGTGACATATCTACACAATGGAATGACATTCAGTCATAGAAAACACTGGTGCACACTACAGCACGGATGTACGATGAAAACATTACACAATCAAAATAAGACAGACACAAAAGGACAAATACATGATTCTGCTCATATGAGGTACTAAAATAGGCAAATTCACATAAGTGTGAGCCCGGCATGGTGGCCCACTCCTGTAATCCCACCTCTCTGGAGGCTAACACAGGAATATTGCTGAGTTGAAGACCAGCCTGGGCTACATAGTGAGTTCAAGGCCAGCCTGAACTGCATAGCGAGACCCTGTCTCAAAAAGCAAACAATTCACACAGATGGAAAGTAGTTTAAAGGTTACTGGAGGAAAAAAGGGAAATAGGAAATTATTATTTAATAAACACAAGGGTTTATCTGGACTGATGAAAAGATTTGGTAATATTTGTGATAGTTGCACCACACTGTGACTATCATAAATGTCAATGAATTGTACGCTTTAAAATGGTTAAATTCTTGTTTTATTTATATTAAAATTTTGTTATTAAGTATTAAATATAAAATACATGTCATTGAGCACTAGTAATAAATTAAGCAAATCTTAGCTATATACAACCACAATTATAAAAGTGCAAGATCTACAAACTAAATTTATATTTGTAAAAGCTTTACAGTTCCTTCTTGAGACAAACACATTGTTGCAATAGGAAAGTGCAAATGGATCCTGGACCAATATTTTAGGGTTGCTTTTTTTTCAATCCCAAAGTCACTAGAAGATGATGAGACAGTGTTAAGGTTTGTGTCTAGTTGTCCGCCCAAAGCCTCATGTAAGACATGCAGGATCAGCAAGTGGCTTGAGGGGCGGAGTCAGAGGACCAGGGTGGAGCTTGAGGGGCGGGTCCAGAGGACCAGGGTGGAGCTTGAGGGGCGGGGCCAGAGGACCAGAGTGGCGCTTGAGGGGCGGGGCCAGAGAGACACGAACCCTTAAGCAGGCTAGCCTGTGCTTTCTCAGAGATGGGGAGAGGGTCATCCTGGACACGGCAGCGCCCCAGCCTCTCCTCCAGTGGCTTGAAACCTCCAGCAACTGGGAGCTAAATAAACCTTTTCTTCCCTAAGCTTGAGTGTTGGGTATTTGTCCCCGCAACAAGAGTAGAGTAACTAAAACGGACAGTTTTAATGTGCCTTCTTTAAAGGTGAGGCCCTGGATTCGGGTAGTGTCAGGAAATGAAAGAGAGATGGGTAGGCTTTGGTATTCAAAAGAATGCATAATTAATTGGCCTAATCTCGTGACTCACACCCCATGAAAAGGAAAATAGACAAAGTACATTTAGTGAACTAACATCCCTATTAGCACTATTTATTTACTTGTTTGTTTGTTTTTGGTACTACCAGCTGAACTCACGACGTTACAGTGGCTAGGCAAGTGTTCCGTGCTGCTGAGTTGTATGTCCAGCCCTCATACTAATGCTTAAAGGGGGAAATTTTGCCATGTGTCATCAGGCGGATTTTCCAGTCCGCAGCCTGGCTGTGGGGTTCTTCCTTCTCCCCTTCTCCCTGCTACGCCACAGCATCGGGTGGTTGCTCACGTGCACCCCGTTCTTTTCCAGAGCATAGGAAACTTGGAAACATGACTGTGACGGTGAAGAAGACCGTGCCCTCCCCGGAGGCCGTGCAGACCCTCTACCAGCGAATGAGGTACGAGTACGAGTTCTACCACTACGTGAAGGAGCAGTTCCACCTGCTGAAGCGCAAGTTCGGCCTGAAGTCCCACGCGAGCAGGCCGCCCCTGAGGCCGCAGTTCTTCATCCCCACCCCTCTGGAAACTGAGGAGCCCATCGACGACGAGGAGCAAGACGATGAGAAGTGGCTGGAAGATATTTATAAGAGGTGATGATGCCAACGCCGGTTGCCTCCATGGCTTTAGCTCCCTTTCCAGAAAGATTTTTGTTGGAGGGAAGAAAAACCCTGAAGGGACTTTAAATTAATGCCCGGGTGCATTAAAAAGAACAAAACATTCCCACATGTTGGGGTCATTGGGAGATGCCCGGTTTTGCGGGTATTGTTTAATTTTATTCTGTGTTTTCTCTTGGCTCGTTGGGGCTTTCCCAGGTACACACATGGCTCCACAAGACATCATGTCATAGAATAATCTTTCCTCTCTCCTTCCCCATATGATGGAAGAAAAAGGAGAAATGTATTCCACAGACCAATAATTTATCATTTGTAAAATGACTTGTAAAAATATTACCTCAGTGGTAGAAGATATTCAGACTTGTATATGTCAATAGAAATATAAAACCACTTCATAGGCCAGAGAGTCTGCTCTAGAAGCATCTAAGAGGAGGAGGTAAGATAAGGACAGCAAGGAATTGATGTCCCTGGTTAAATGCTCTCTGCCCGCGTGGGTAGAATTCTGCCTCCGGTCCATCTCGGGGACACTGTCACCAAGAGCAGTGTGCTTATCTGTGAAAGAGCAAGTCACCTTGTGCTCCACTGAGACATTCCAGTGCCGGGCACCACCCTGACCGTCTCCAAGGCAGCTTAGCAAGGAGAAGGATTTGTTTGCTGTGTCAGGAAGAGTATGGGCAGCCCAGAGCCGCCCTGGGGGACATGTGGCAGCAGCAAAAGAACATACTTGTGTGCTTTGTACCCAATCTGAGACATCTGTGTCCCTGGCACTGGTTTAAGTGGAAGTCCCAGGAACCAATTTAGCTCTGGCATGCGTTATTCTGACAGAACCTCTCAACCTGATCACGGACAGTGCCTAATCTCTGACGGCTACCCCTGCCCAACTAGGGTGTCACTTGGTATCTGATACCCACCTGTTTTGGTGACAAGGGGTCCTGAGTTCTGTGCAGGCAGCAAGAGAGCAGTATTCCATTTCTTATGAAATCTGCTTGCTCTTAGGAACCCTTACCAGGGACATCAAAAACAGAAAAGTAAGGGGTCTAGATAGGAAGTCTCCAGACTTTACAAGCTCTGACCAGCTTTACAAGTGGTGATCTGAGTCGATGCTGGGCAGTTCCATGATCCTCAATATCCCACCTGCCCCCTTTCACCTCATCACCTACCCCTACACATTGATCCAGTTATTAGAAACCTTTTCCCTTAAATTCTGAAGTGTTTTTCACCTTTTTAAAAAATCCTGAAGTTCATGTTCTTCTGGGTGGCTAACACTAGGACCAGGATGCAGAAGTGGCAGAGGGAAGCATGCTTCTGAGAAATGTTGTCTGCTCCGTTTGTCCCTGGAGCCAGCCCATCGAGAGTCATTTTTGCAAAGTGAGTCAGAAGACTTCAGACGCTGACTTCAGGCAATCTACACATTTTTCTGCTTTCCAGAAAACAACCAGTCTCTCTAGAATTTTTTTTTCTTTTTTTCACTAAAACTAAACAGTGGCCAAGATACAGAGCAAGTCACCTGGGACCCGCCGAGTGTGTGGTGAAGCCACTCTATCTTGAGCTGTATTGGGAAGGCTCCAGCCCAGAAGCACCCAGGCAAGGCAGGGGCCACGGAGACACAAAGTCTCTGACAGACTTATGGGGTTTTCTCTGCTTCAAGGGACTGGGGCAGCAAAGTGAATAAGAGACACATTCACAGTGTAAGAAATATCATTTGTCCTGTGCAGAGAGACGTGGGCCTACTATCAGACATACTTTAAAAAGCTATAATATTCAAAACTGTGTGAGAAGTGCTGCCTTACATGTTGTGAGTCATTTCTGTTAACCTACATACACACCAGCCAGTGCCACAATCTGAAACTAAAGTTCTGGTGGCTAAATTTTCTCTGCTGTTAGAACACCAGAATAATTGTTCATTCAACAAATCCATCTCCCCTGCAAGTTCACATGGACACTTCTCCCTGGGTGTTCAATAGTACTTTTTTTGGCAGTGATCAATATAACTTCACAACAAAAGTTGCCCACTGATTATTTGTAGGGACTTATTTTGCCCCAACAACAGCCTATAGTCCCTAAAAGTCAAGGCACTTCATTGATTTATTTGGTACACATGACAACATTTATTTGGCCCTGGGCCCAATAGAGTTTGTAGTTCATGAAATATACTGTACACTTTACATAGTTTAATTTAAAAAATACATTTTAAGCTAGTTGATCTTTGACTGCCTTATTTATTATAACCTTTCAGCACATTCCAAGGTTTTAGTTACTCAGGAAGGAGTTAATTAAAATGATTTTATTTTGGTCTGATGGATTTTTAAAAGGAAAATTATTATTATGAACTCTCAGCCTACTTTCCTTGAGTGCTGTAAAAGTGCTTGTAAATCTTTTTTTTTCCTAAAGAAAAAAAAATGATGTTTGACATTGTTGGAAATTCAAAAATATATATGGAACAGAAACATAAGCTTAGCTAAAATAAAAGCAATCTGTGTTGGAGATGGAGTGTTCCTTAACTTATTCATTACCTATACAAATAAATGAATATAAATAAGTTGAAATTTCTTCCACTCTGTTGATAAGCAGAAGTAAAAGGCCTGTAAACCACCACAGACCCCTCAACCTTCTGGATCAGCAAAGCTTTTCTTCTCAAAATATCATTTGGAAAAAGATATGTTTCTGAAAAATCTATCAACTTTCATTTTTGTAACTATAGGACACCCCAAAACACTGTTGAAAAATGAGCTAGTCCCTTCCTTCATTTAGCTGTGTATATAAAATAGCAAACCGTGAATGTTACTTCTGCGGTCCCTTTTTGGCTTGGTGTTGGGTGCTCTACTAGAATCATTGATGTCTGACATGGATTATCAAGGCTGCATACGTGCAGTAAGGTAAGAGAAAAAGGACCTGCCACTCAGTGTGTAAGCGGATCTGTTTCTCAGACATTCAGAGCCTCAAACACTGGATGTTTCCAATTTCGCAAGAGGTATTGGTCCAGAAATGCCCTGAAAAATTTCATTGCTGTGGTCCAGTGGAACTTACAGAGAAGAAACTGATATAGTCCTCTTGCCTTCTGTGTGTTGCACACTGCATTCCAACAACATGTGACTCATTTGCAGAAGGACTCAGTCCTGATATTAGGGGAGAGCCACCTGCATTTTGCTAATAATGTGATTTATTTCAAAAATCTAAAAATCTGAAGCAACGAGTGATAAGTATGAGCCTTCTTTACCATTTAATTTATCCATCTGCAATTGAGTTAAATAAGTTTGAATGAAATGTAAAGTCAAAACTACTAAGCAAAAGTCAAACTACTACATCTGCTGTCTGTACGATTGGCCTAAAGTTCTTTATAAATGTGCTAGTATCTATAAGTTAGTCCAGTGAGCTCTTTGCTTGAAGTAAATTTTATAGAAAGTGGCAGTATTTCTCCCAAGACAAAATGACAATTCAGGGCTGGGGAGATAGCTTGGCTCCTTCCTGCCTGGCAAATGCAGTCCCAAGTTTGATCTCCGGTTGTGCATGCCATGCTGGCCCTGAAACCAGGTGTGGTGGCACATGCTTGTAATCTCAGTGCTGGGGGTGCTGAGATAGGAGGATCACTACAAGTCTGAACTGCATAGTGAGACTCTGTATCAAAAATAAATAAATAAATAAATAAATAAATAAATAAATGAAATAAAAGACAATTCATAGCCATTAAGATAAACACCCCTGTAGGTCAAAATTGTGATTTCCTTCCAGAAAATATAAAGCTAATTCATTTTATGAAAATAACATCCTTTGCATCTGATGGTAAAGTAACCCATAAAAATAAACAAGATAGATGAACATTCTGCTATAGAAAATCCTGTTTCAGGCTAAAACCACTTTTAAGGAACTGTTAAGAAAAATAAACGGAGCTTCTTTCACAGCCCAGAAAAGTCCTTGGTATTGGGTCTCAGTGTATTAGGCAGCGGGGGCTACTACAGACAGTACCAGACACTGGGAGCTTCAACAATGGGAATTTATCTTCTTACATTTCTAGAAGCTGGAAGGCTAAGAGCAGGTGCTAGCTGGGCTGGATTAGTTCTGCATCTTTCTCCTGGACCTCTGGATGGCTGTCTCCTCCCTGTGTCTTCGTGTAGTTTCCTTCCTGTGTGTTATGTGTCTGTGCCCAAATTTCCTGCCCCACCACTGTAGTAGGAATGAAAACCAGAGCCTCATGCATGCCAGGCAAGCAGTTGCGCTGAGCTACACCCTCAGTACAATGCCCTGTTCTTATAAGAAGCCCCATCATGTGGCAATAGGGCCCACCCTGAAGACCTCCTTTTAACTTACAAATTTCTTTGAAGACCCTACCTCAGGGATTGATTAAGACTACAACATGAGGATTTGGGGAAAACACAATTTGTCCTATAACACCCAGATTGCAGCAGGAAAGTTAGAGCAAAACAATTGAGCTCCATGTAGGAGAGAGTGAGCCTCAAATTGGGGATCCTAGAGTGGCCACAGAGCTCAGCAGTGGTGATCTGGCCAAGGAAACCAAGGTCCAAAGAGGAGATGCAAATACAGCACACACTGACATTGTTCATTAGGGGCTCACTTAATTAACTTTTGAGCATTTACCAAGTTAAAACTTTTTTTTTTTTTTTTTTTTTGGCGGAACCGGGGATTAAACTCAGGCCCTTGCGCTTGCCCAGGGAAGTGCTTATTCTACTAAGCCATCTCCCCGGCCCTAAAACTTTTAGAAGTGGTGATGGAGCCAAAGTTCATCTCCTGACCTAGCGTCTAGCATGGGAATGGTGAGACACGTCCAGTCACATTCAGGACTGCCCTCCACACTGGACTTTCATGTGCTCACCTATGAGTTTCCTGCAAAGCAGGGCTAAGAACCCATTCTCTACTGGTACTCAGTCATATCTTCTAGGACAAATAGAAAAAAAAAAAGAATGTTTTATTCTAGAATGTTCTTACCTCTTAAAAGGACTCAGGGAGGTTCTTGGTTCTTGGTAAACAGACTTGCCTGTTTGCCTATGGCAAAGGCAAACTGAAGGTTCACATCCTACTTCCTGTGAGAACTTTTGCATGGACTACCTGAAAAACTAGAGTCAAAATGTACCTCACAAAACTAGTTGAATTTGAGTGCAAACATATCTCTGGAAGGCAGAGCTAGAGGCTAACCAAGGCCCAGCCTCATGCAGGCCTTGCTCACTGACTTTCGCTGGAGAATTCCTTTCAGCCTAGGGCTGGCTCAGCTCACTGCTCCCAGCACTGCTGATTCCCAAGGAACACTCAGACCCGCAGATGTTCACGGGTCACAGAACCGTGAACTGACCACTTGTGCATTTTGGATTTAACTTGTAAACATGGGGATTCCCTCTCAAAGGGGGAGGGGCGAGGAGAAAAGAAAAATCAACATGCAAAGGGAAAATGTAAGTGATTGTTTTTCCTTTTGGAATCTTGGCAGGTGAGTTTAGCTATCTTCAATCTGGCTTTTACCAGACGCTGTGTGCTCTGAGCAGGCGCAGAGCTCTCTGCCCTAGGTTATGCTGCCAGGACATTCAGAGTTGACCTGTAACACGCCTTCTATTCCAGTCCCAAGCAGAGGATGGGACCTGCCAGATCCAGCGTGCTGGCCGCACGATGCAGACTGGAGTTGTGATGAAACCAGGAAGCAGAGTGACTGCTGAGGGCAAGTGCCACACCCCGGGAAAGTCCTGAGTTCAAGTCCCAGCTGGTCTATTTCACTGGGCTTCAGAGTAAATCACTTGACCTTCCACTGCCTGAAATCAAGCCAGCTGAAAAGCTCTAGAGAGAAAATAAGAGGTCTCCTGAAATCCACAGATTGCTTCTGGGGTGAACTTTTTCTACCCTCCACCCCGAAACACCAAGAGATTAAGAGCCACAGTCCTAGAAGTCTCTAGTTCCCATCTCCTGATCTGCTTCTGAGGTTCTGTTTACTGTGTTATTATCCAAGACAAACCACTTCAGGGATTTCCATTTCTCTTGAAACTCCTTTAAGAGGAGTTTATCAGGGCCTGGGAGATGGCTCAGTAGAATAAGTGCTTGCCTGGTAAGCACAAGGGTCTGAGTTCAATCCCCAGTTCTGCAAAAAAAAAAAAAAGAGTTTGTCTAGCTGTGAGTTACAAGTTTCATCTTATTTTATGGCTTTCAGTATAGGCTTCTTCTAACTTTAAAGTGCCCTGTGTACTTATAATCCTGTTAACAATAATAATAATGATTACTAATAATCTTCTCATGTCCATTTGAATTAATATGGGTTGTCACAAGGAAAAATCTTTATAAAAATACAAAATCTGGTATGAGTGGGTGTTGTACTTTTTGAAATCTTGTTTCTCATTGCAGGAAGTAGCATCACAACTATAATGTATCAAATCTCTCTTCTTCGGCACACTTTCATACTTGCTGTTTATCTTAGATTTGAAGATAATTAAATTCCGGTCCAGTGCACAGTCTCAAAAGACTAAGCATTTTTAAAATCACTGTTGAATACTTTGGAAAATGCTGCATTTCTGAGTGTGGTGTCCTAGGATATGGTAGTTTATGAAGAGCATCTTAAGGGCTCTGTGACATACTAAAGTTATTTTAAGGAATCAGTTCATCTTTGCCAAATCCCAAACAATTAAAAATTATTTGATATGGAACCCTTACTGGAATGAGACTATTACTGCCTTGTGGAACCAATGTGCTGGAGGTGATGCTTTGAGAAACTTTGCTTCAGTGTATAGCATCACATTGCGTATCTCCCCTTCAGAAGAGAGGCTTTCCTTTCCTTCTCTGTGGTTTAACTTCTGGCTTTCCCAGTGGCCCCTGTATCCTGCTCAAGAAAAATATATTTGAAGATGATTCATATTTTGATAAATACAAGATGGGGACCTTTTTACTGAAATAATTCACTAGAAATCACCTTTTAGTTTTGCTTATTCTCCCTAGTCACATTCTCTTACCTTAGGAAACAGTAAAACACTTCTTTAAAATAAAATGTTTGCACACTTTCTCATTATTGTGTACTTCCAATCAACCCACTACCCCCATAACAGTCAGCGTTCAAGCCCACTGGAATAAAGGACACCGGTTCCTCTTCCTTCCCTGACTTAGTTATTTATTCAAGAGGAAGGAAGGTGGTGGCAAAACAGATCTCAGCAGCTCAAACAAAGATGGTGATTGCAAGAGGAATCTGCAGCCGCCACCGTGCACGGGGCACCTATGTTGTTCGGTACACTAGAGGGAGCCGTGTCCACAACAATTTACTCCAGAAGCCCAAGGTCTTTCCAAACCAAATTTTTTACCCACCCCTGCTTATTTTTGTCTCCTGCTTGAGAGCAAGATGGGTCAGAAAGAATTCATGGTTAGTGGAATTGAAGCATGTTGTATTTGATCAATTGTTCATTACTCCCCTGGGTCATATGACTTAATATCATTTTGTTATTCTTAAAATACTGATTTATGGGCTGGGGA